CCTTAGGCTGTTGTGATTGTTTATTTTATTTTAAAAGAGAAGAAGCAAAATTTAAAAATGTGAACATTTATTTATTCTGGGAAATGAATTATAAGCTCATTATATTATATATCCTTTTATATAATTTAATTTATGCTATATATTCAGAGTACATATACTCTGATGCTTGTTATACTATTCTTTGTGTTTTTCAGTATTTCATTCAATTTGTGAAATAGTCAACTAGTCCCCTTCCCATCTACCCACCCCCACCCAAAGCCTCATTAACCAAAAGCGAAAGGCACACAAACAGGAAAGAACCCAGAGGAAACACCCATGTTAGCAGAAACCACGAAGCAAATTAAAGACATTCAGACAGCCTGCTTTAAACAGTTAAACAGAAATCATTTTTGGAAAAAAAAAAAAAATTGTGCTGGGCACAGTGCCTTATGCCTGTAATTCCAGCACTTTGGGATGTTGAGGCGGGAGGACAACTTGAGCCTAGGAGTTCGAAACCAGTTTGGGCAACATACTGATACCTTGTTTCTACAAAAAAAAAAAAAAAAAGCAAAAATTAGCATGGTGATACATGCCTGCAATCCCAGCTACTTGGGGGGTGTGGGGACTGAGATGGGAGGATCACTTGAGCCCAGGAGATATAGGCGGCAGTGAGCAGGGATCCCGTTGTTACTGCACTCTGGCTTGAGCAACAGAGCGAGACACTGTCTCAAAAATAAAAAATAAAAAAAGAAAGAAAGAAACGGAACGGAAGTAGCAAGATAAGAAGTCATGCACATGCACATCTGGGTTCAAAACCCAACCTCCGCCAGCTACCAGCTATATGACCTTCAGGAAATTTCTAAAGGTTTCTATGCCCAAGTTTCCTTCTATTAAGGATGGGACTCATAATACTTATCTCAGGAGCTATTTTAAAGACTAACTTGGATACCCTCTCCAAAGTGCTTATCATAGTGGTTGGTAAATAGTTATTTGTTCAATAAATGATGATTATTTTTGCATTAGAACTAGGATTCGAATTTCTATGTGTGGGTATTTATTTCAGCAAAATAAACAAAGATATCCAAACTGAAGCATCAAAACAAATGATTATTTAACACTGAAGCAAGCACTGTGGTTGAATAAAATGTATAGACAAAAGCGTTGTAAAAGAAAAGGCAGGAGATACAGACTAGATAGAAGAAATTCCATCTATAAATAATAGTATTACAGATGAAATTTTCAAAGTCCAGCAAAATGAAAACCGTTCCCACGTAAACAGAGACCCGTAAACAGAGACCAGTTTACTGAACTGAATAGTAACATCAATATGGGTTATTATGTTAACCGATTCTATTTACTGGTAATACACAAAGAAAGTCCTTAAGCCCACAAGTGGCAAGTTTTTGGAAGATGCAAGTTTTATAAGTTGCTAAAAGGAGAATATTTAAAAAGCATTATTGGAGGGAAAAACATGTTTTCTAGACTCTGAAGCAAAAAAATAAAATTATCCCAGAGGTCCTTAGTGAATTAAGAGCTTGTAGTTCCCAAATTTAAAAGTGATATAAAGAAAAATTAAAAATATGCCCAGACTAATAAATGTAAGAAATAAGACTTTATCATATCACCAAAAATTTTTTTAATAAATTATCTGGAGAGTTCATCCAAACTTGCATAAACCAAATAGTCCCTATATTATATATGCTCTTATAAAAATACAGAAGAGTAGAGGTTAGCCGGGAACAGTGGCTCAAGCCTATAATCCCAGCACAGGGATTGGAAAAGATAAAGCTTTCCAATAATTGGAATAATGGGAAAGATAAAGCTTTCTAATCCTGTTATTTAGTATGGTGCTAGAATGTACTAGAATATTCCTTCCTTTGCTATCCTCCATTCTTTTCCTTCCTCTTCTTTTTAGTGATTTCTTCATTTGCCAGTAACTTAGATGACTCCTTCTATACACATAACTTGAGGTTGGCTGGGAGTAGTGGCACAAGTCTGTGATTTCAGCACTTTTGGAGGTCGAGGCGAGAGGACTGCCTGAGTCCAGGGGTTTGAGACCAGCCTGGTCAACTTGGTGAGAACTCATCTCTACAATAAATTTAAAAAATAGCCAGGCATGGTGGCATGCACCTGTAGTTCCAGTTACTTGGAAGGCTGAGGCAGAAGGATCGCCTGAGCCCAGCAGGTTGAAACTGCAGCGGCCATAAGCATACCACTGCACTCCAGCCTGGGGGACAGAGTAAGACTATGACTCAAAAAAAAAAAAAAAAAAAAGTAGAAGTTAACAGCCCAATTAATGAGTTTTAAATGATTCTGATGTCTCAAAGTAGGCAAAAATGTACCATAAAAATTCATAAAACTGAAACTTCTAAGCATATTGTATACAATAAGTTGAAAAAAGTTTCTAAGCATATTAGATACATAACATTCAAACAATTACAGTTTATGTCTGCATAGGTTTCTTCCGGAAAATGCAGATTAGATTTAAAAGACCATCATTTGAATACTAGCTATATATTAGATTATATTAAAATACTAAAGTACTGAGGAGGCAAATGATTGCTAGGATTTGCTTTAAAATAGCACATTGGAGTTGGGGACAGGGATGGGGAGGGGAAACTAAATGACTCAATACTGGTCATATTTTGAAAACTGTTGAAGTGAAATAATGGGTACATGGGGTTCATCATGTTCTCTCTACAGCATGCTGAGAATATCCATAGTAAGAAATTAAAAGCACTATTTAAAGCTAAAAGTCAACACAAGTAGTGAGGAATTTTTCAAAACAAAACAGGCAAAACAGAAAAAAAAGATAAATATTTTCAATCCTGTTATTCAGTATAGTGCTAGAATGTGCTAGAATGTTCCTTCCTTTTCTATCCTCCATCCTCTTCCTTCCTCTTCTTTTTAGCGGTTTCTTCATTGGCTTGCGACTTAGATGACTCCCTCTAGACACATAACTTCCCAAACTCAGAAACAGACTTTCAGATTGTTCTCTCACAACATATTAAATATATTCTTTTTTTTTGAGTTGGAGTCTCACTCTGCCGCCCAGACTGGAGTGCAGTGGCCGCTCCCGGTCACTGCAGCCCCGACCCACTGGGCTCCGGCGATCCTTCCGCCTCAGCCTTCCAAGTAGCTGGAACTACAGGCACACACTACCACTCCCGGCTGATTTTTTGATTTATTGTAGCAATGAAGTCTCACCAAGTTGCCCAGACGGGTCTCGAACCCACGGGCTCAGGCAATCCACTCACCTCAGCCTCCCAAGGCGTGGGATTACAGGCTGAGCCACGGAGCCCGACTGGCAAATACATTCTTAAATAAGGGAACTTATTAGAGTGAGCTGAAAGGGTTTTTGCTCTAAACAAATATATTTTTCAAAAAACATCCACTTTGGCACAGTGGCTCACACCTGTAATCCTGTAATCCCAGCACTTTGGGAGGCTGAGGTAAGAGGATTGCCTGAACCCAGAAGTTCAAGACCAGCCTAGGCAACATGTTGAGACCTTGTCTGTACAATAAATAAATTTAAAAAATTAGCCGGGTGTGATGGCGTGCACTTGTAGTTCCAGCTACTTGAAAGGTTGAGGAGGAAGGACGGCCTGAATCCAGCAGGTAGAAACTGGTGGCCGTGAGCTTGCCACTGTACTCTAGCCTGGGCAACAGAGTGAGAATCCAACTCAAAAACAAAAACCAAAAAACAAACAAAAACTCATCTACCTCATCCATTTAAAAGACTTGTCCTTTGTGTGTTTTATTACACATATATTCGGTGAGTGACTGGAGGTTTTTGTTAATAAATACATGACCAAAAGTTTAAAGACCACCATTTTGGACACTAGGACACCACTCAAAGTTTTTCTTTTAAAAAATGACTTCTCACCTAAGAATACTTAAAGTTTTCAAGTGTGAAAAGTACTCTACCAAGAAAAATAATTGAGCTGAAGTTCATAGGAGCAGAAAAGATGGGAGGAAAGACTATAGCCAGAGAGAACCATTCACTAATTCAAAACGGCATTCATTCAGAAATGAGATGAAAAGGAGGAACCGGACTGGAAGGGACTTGAGCGACTTCACAAAAAGGCTTCGGTGATGAACGGACAGTGAAGGAGGAGAAGGATGAAGAGGGTGGGGGGGAATGTCAGAGACCCGGCTGTGGGGAAGGACGATGAGTTTGGCGAGTGTGGACAGGACAGTCAGCTGTGGCTGTTCCTCGGACACCGGGAGATGGAGAACTTGGACCCGACAGAGGCCCAGACAGGGAACTAGGTGGGGTAGCCACCTTGTTAGATGTGAGCCTGACCCCTAACGATCCGGAAGACAAATCAACAGGCCTAACCCAAACCGCGGGGGCACACATGCTCTAAGTGACCAAAAAGCAGCTGTGGCCACGGAAGCAGCTGCCCGAGCCGCAAGCCGCGCTGGGGCCCAAGAGCCGGCGGCGAGGGCTCAGGCCGCCTCGGGGAGAGGCTCCGACCTCGGGGAGGACCGTCCTGGTCGGGTGCAGCGACCGGCGCCAGAGACCAGAAAAGCGGCGACGCGGGGAGCGGCGGCGACTGGGAGTCCGGGGCCACGCAGAGCCGCAGCCCGGCGCGGTGGACGCGGGTCGGTGCCGCGCGGCTGGGGCGTTGGAAGACCGCGTCTCGGGCGGAGGGGGGCAGGGAGGGCGAGATTCCAGGTACCCAAGGGGGGCATCTTCTTTCGTTCCCAAACCTGCCTCCAGCCCCCCAGGTCCCGGCTGGCCCCGCCGTACTCGATCCAGCCCCCAGGTCCCGGCTGACCCCGCCGTACTCGATCCCGCTTCTCACGGGCGGAGGCGGGGTTGGCGCGGTGTCGCCGGGCACCCTGGCTCCAGCCGTATTCCAGGAGGGATCTGAAGCTCCGCAAGGTGGGGACGGCGGGGGGGGGGGGGCGCGGGAGCAGCGCGGCCGGCAGCGATCTCCACCCGGCGCGGTGTCCCGGCGAGAGCGCCCCTCCCAGAGCAGCGGCCAGACCCGGCTCCCTCGCGGCGCACTCACCGCTCCGACTGCGAGTAGTTGCACCGACCCAGCAGGTTGAGCTTGCAGAGATGCAGGTTGTCGCAGGGTCGCTGGCAGTACTTGCGACGGCACACCCGGGCCCGAGTGGTGGCCACCACCGAGCGGGTGACCC